ATGCATGTATGTATATGTGTATATAGTTATATATAATGTTCGTGTATGTGTATGTATGGGTGTATGTATATGTAGACATATGTAGGTATGGGTATTTATATGTGTATATGTATATGCATACGTATATATGTGTGTATGCATATGCGTAGGAAGGTGTATAAATAAATAAGTATATGTATGTATGTACGTATGGCTGTGCGTAAAGGTGGTTATATGTAAAGCAAGTACATGTGTATACACATATATATGGGGGGGGGACACTAGTGTAAATGTAATACATGGATAGATACAGATGCATAAAGGGGTATATACACGGGTGAGTATACACTCATGTATACTCACTCACTTATCAGTAACATATAACAAGCGCATAAAGGGACAGGCGATTGAACATATGTAGGTCTGAGTAACATGTGTGTAGTTATTTATAACGTAGGAATATATACCCATATCCATAAGCATAGATATAAGTAAAGGTATATGCATATGCGTGGTACTTAGAGCATGTGCGGGAATAAATGTGTCTGCATCAGGTGCACATACGCCCAAGTGAAAATAAATAAAATAAAATCACACATATATGCACTTCTGATACTTAAGCCCAGCTCACGGGAGTATACCCTGGTGTAGTGAGCAGGCCCGTGCATTGCCGCTCCTAAGTCCACACCAGGTAGGACCAAACCTGCTGGGGGGACTTATCAATGGCATTCCGGCTAAATTACTCCCCCTCCCACCAAGATACACCTAAGCCAGTAGGTGGGAGGTAAATCGGCTGTCCACCTCCCAATGAAAAGACACAACCCAGCAATAGCCCTCATTCCCCGGAGGCGAAGGAGCCCCTGGTTACGGCGGCGATCAGGATCGCTCCGGAGCAGGGGGTGCTAAAAATATCCGGGTAAAGACAGGCCGCCCCACGTTGATGAACCTTTGCACATACAATATAAGGACCATGAGAACTGAATCCGACTTACTAGCTTTACTGGAGGAACTCTCTTCCATTAAATGGGATGTAGTAGGACTCTGCGAAGTTAGAAGACTAGGCGAAGAGCAGAAGTTAATAAATGAGGGACACGTGCTCTATTGGAGAGGAAAACCTCTGGGTAGCAAACAGGAATTAGGGGTAGGGTTCTTAATACACAAATGCTTAGAAAAGAACATCGTGGAATTCTATAGTGTAAGAGAAAGAGTGGCTTCTGTAACAATAACACTAAACAATAGGTATAACTTAAAAATGATTCAAGTCTATGCTCCAACCTGCAGCCACAGTGATGAAGAAATAGAGAGCTTCTATGAAGATATTCATTTAGCCAGCGAGAAAGTAAAAACCCATTTCACAATAATTATGGGAGATTTTAATGCCAAAATAGGGTAAAAAGACAGAGGGCGAAACCGCAGTAGGGAACCATGGAACAGGCACTAGGAACGAGAGGGACAAATGCTAGTCGACTTTGCGGAGGCTCGATCACTCAGTATCATGAATACATTCTTCGAAAAAAGACTAGAACGGAAGTGGACATGGAAGTCGCCTTCTGACGTCAAAAACGAAATTGACTTCATCATTTCAAATAGGCGCGATATAATAAAAAATGTAGAAGTTATCAATAAAGTAAATGTAGGCAGCGACCATAGAATGGTGAGAGGCGAAATTAAAGTACACCTCAGAAGGGAAAGGAACAAACTAATGCGTAAACCACAGCCAAACTTAGCTAACTTGAAGATCAGAGCAACAGAATTTAGCCTAAACATCCAAAACAGATATTCACTCCTCCGCGACGAAGTCTCAACATCGACCAAATCAATAAACAGTTCAATGACATAATAAAGGAAGCTGCACTTGAAGTAGCGGCAAGAACGACAATCGAAGCTCCAGCAAACTCTCGGTAGAAACTAAACAGCTTATGCAAAAACGTAGAGACATGAAAGTATCATCAAACAGGGACAAGACAGAATTAGTTGAACTAACAAAGACCATAAATAAAAAGAAGAGGGAAGATGTACGGAAATTCAATACTCAAATAATAAATGAAGCACTGATTTCAGGTACCAGCATGGAAACAGCTAAAAGAAGACTAGAATAGGAGAAATCAAATGTATGCAATTAAGAAAACCAGACGGAGAAGTAACATATAACAAGAATGAAATCATCAAAGTAGTGGAAGACTTTTACAGGGATCTATACAACTCAGACGAACAGCCACAAATAGAAGCAAACGCGGTAACTAGAGACGTACCTAATATCACAAAGAAGAAATAAAAAGAGCACTTAAAGGCATGAAGAGAGGGAAAACACCAGGCGAAGACGGAATTAGCATAGACCTTATATTAGATGCAGGAGAAATCGCAACAGTGAAACTAGCCAATTTTTTAAACAAATGTCTTCTCAGTGGAAAAACTCTGAAAGCCTGGAAAAATGCAACAATTATCTTGTTACACAAAAAAGGCAATAAAAAGGATTTAAAAAATTACCGACCCATAAGCCTCCTTTCAGTTACTTACAAACTGTTCACGAAAGTCATTACAGCTCGCATCTCTGACAGCCTGGATTCTAACCAGCCTAGAGAACAGGCAGGCTTCCGCAGCGGATTCTCAACAACAGATCACATCCACACGCTCACCCAAATAAGAGAAACAAACGAATATAGGAAACCCCTGTGTATGGCATTCATCGATTATGAAAAGGCATTTGATTCTGTACAAATACCAGCAGTATTAGGTGCCATTCTACAAGGAGTAGAGGAGGTATATTGTAAAATATTGGAAGATATATACAAAGATGGGACAGCAACCATCAAGCTCCACACGGAAACCGATAAAATACCAATTAAAAAAGGCGTTCGACAGGGCGACACCATCTCACCAAAGCTGTTTACAGCCTGCCTCGAGGAAATATTCAAGAAACTAGAATGGGAAGGGAAGGGTATCAAATAGGAGACGAACACCTAAACAATTTAAGATTTGCAGACGATATTGTTCTCCTTAGTGAATCAGCAGATGAAATGCAGCAATTAATAAACGATCTGAATAAAGTCAGAAAAAGCTGGAAAAGAATGGGAGAGACCTACGTCCTGCAGTGGATTGACTCAGGCTGATGATTGATGATACACACACACACACACACACACACACACACACACACACACACACACACACACACACACACACACACACACACACACACACACACACACACACACACACACATATATATATATATATATATATGTATATATACATACATACATACATATATATATATATATATATATATATATATATATATATATATATATATATATATATATATATATATATATATATATACATATATATGTATGTGTGTGTGTGTGTGTGTGTCTAAATAAAATGAATATTAAACCCCATGCTCCATCGAGCGAATTCGCATCGCATCCACACGAAACGCCTCGCCAGCAGCATTCCTCCCGGCGGCGCCAGCCATGCACAAGTACTCCAGTGCCGCACTCGAGGCCCCCGCCCCCCGCCCCCCTTCCCCCTTCCCCTGGGGCCGTGCATGACAGGGGGTGAGTACGGAGGGAAGGGGGGAAGGTGGGGGAGGGAGGGAGGGAGGAGGGAGGAGGGAAGGAGAGAGGGAGGAGGGAGGAGGGGAGGAGAGGAGGAGGGAAGGGAAGGAGGAAGGAGGAGGGAAGGAGGTAAGAGGGAAGGGGGAAGGAGAGGGGAGAGGAAGGGAGGATGAAGAAGGAAAGGGGAGTGGGAGGGAGGAGGAGGGAGGGGATGGAAGTGGAGGGTGTGGGGCTGG